TAACCCTGTTAAAAATTTTTTTACATTATTAAAAAAAGGTTTTAAATACCCAACCAAAACTCTTATACTTCAGATCTAAGGGGTCTTAAGCCTATTCCCAACCCAAAACAATGTTTCAATTTTTACACTTCATTCAAAAAATTTTCATTCCCCCGTCCCCCAAAAGTGAATTTTGGTTTAAACCCGGGGAACAAGAAAAAAAAACACAAAAGGGTGGTTTTAAAAAAAAATAGAATTTTAAAAAAAGAAAAATTTAAAAAAGACTGCCATTTTGGAAAATTCAACGCGCTGTAAAAAAACAACTTGGCCCAAAAAACCCAAAAAATAAATTTAAACATTTCAGCCCTCACAAAACTACCCCTTAAAAAAACTTCTCACAAACACCCTTGGGTAGCTCCCAACCCCAAAAGGGAAAAACATTAAAAAAAGTTCAAAAATTTAAAAGAAAAGTTCCTTTTACATCAACCCCGGGGAAAAAACCCTTTTTAAAACCTTGCCCAAAAAAATTCCCGCCAAACTCTTCACGAGGGTTCACAAAAAACAAGAAAATAAAAACCCGCAAGAACTTAATTTAAAACCTAAAAAAAAATAAAAAACCGGGGAAAAAGCTGAAAACGTTTTCCCTAATTTCCCGTCCCTAAAAGAAAATATGACCCTGCCACAATAAAAAATGAACAGAAATTTAAATTTTTTTAAAAAAATTTCTTAAACCCATTTTAACCCAAAATATAATTTAAAAAGGGTCATTTCCCCCCATAATTTTGGAAAAACGTTAAAAAAAGGGAAAATGGTTTTAAAAGTGCCCAAATCTTTGTTTTTTTAAAACCCAAATTTAAAAATTTTTCAAAGTTTTTTCCAAAAAATGCTTTTTTCCAAATTTTATCATTTTTTTTAAATTTTTGTGAAAAAACAGTAAAAAAATTTAGGAAAACCCCGGTTTTTTTTCATTAACAAATTAATAAAATCAACCCAAAGACACTTAATAAATTAAAAAATAAATTTTTTTACATAAAATTTTTAAGTACTAAATTCACCAAAAAACAAAAAAGAAAAAAATTTAAAATAATTATAATAATAACAACACAAAGCCAAAAAATTAAAGGCAAAACCCCAAAAAAAACATGGGAAACAAAGGGCCCATTTCTGTTTTTTCTATTTAGTTTCTCTTAAATTGGGAAAAAGAGTTTGGGAAACGAAAGCAGGATTTCCCGATCAGACTGCCCCGGGTGCCCCCCCAGACTGGGTTTTTTGGGTCCCAAAAGCTGGTCGCAAAAACCCTTTTTTGTTTTGGGTTTTGTTGGGGGCGCGGGGTCAAATTTAAAACCCTTTTCGGGTGTTTTTTTATAATTCTGGGAAAATTTTTTTTTTAAAAACCTTTAAACCCATGGAATTTTCCCTTTTTCCCAAAAGAAAAAAAGGACAATTGGGAAACAAAAAATTTGGGAAAAAACGAAATTTAAAGAAAAATTTTCCACCGTAAAAATTTGAATAATGTTTTCCCAAACCCAAACCCCCCGTAAAAAATTTGAATAAAGTTTCAACATAAAAAAATGTAAAAAAAATTTGGGTTAAATTTTTTCCCAAAATACCAAATGTTAAAAATTCGATATAGTTTCAAAATACCCCCCATTAAAAATTTGATAATTGGTTTTCCCCGAAAATTTTTTAAAATTTTTTTCCCTTTTTTTTAATTTCCCCTTTTAAAACTAAAACTTTTCGCCGTTTAAACCCCCGACAAAAGGAAAAAATGGTTTACCCGAAAATTTTAAAGCCCATTTTCCAAAACATACCAATTTTAAAAAAATTCCCATAAAAGGTTTTTTTGGGAAAATTTTTTTTATTAATGTTTTTTCCTTTTTTCAGTAAATGGGAAGTAAAGAAAAAAGGGGTTTGCCAAATAGGAAAAAAATAAAAAATTTTAAACCCGTTTTTCAAAATTTTCAAAAAATTTTTTATAGGGAAATTTCTAAACGGAATGTTTTGTAAATGTTTTATATGCTTTTTTTTTCAAGGCAAAACCCAAAAAAAGAACATACATCATTGTTTTTTTTTCCGAATTTTAGAGAAAAAAACATTCCAAAACCCCTCGAACCTTTTCCCCCTTTTTCGAAACCCCCGGCCCCCGCCAAATAAAAGACGTACAATTTTTTCCAAAACTCAGCTTCTTTTCTTGGGGCAGTAAACCCTTCCCCCTTAAAAATATTCCCTTTTTGAATTAACGATTTAAAGTTTTTTAGTCTTAAACTTTGGGGAATTTGTTTTCATTGCCGGGAAAATTTTGTGCAATTTAAAAATGAAAAAAATCCCCTCAAGTGGTTTCTGGAAAATCCCCCTGTCTTTGTTGTAAAGCGTCCGGGCCCTTCGTTTAAGTATAATGTTGGGGGGAATTTTTGGTGGCATCATTAAAACCCCTGGGAGTTTACTGCATCCGCCAAAAATTAAAGGGGAATTTTTCCTCTGAAAAAAAAAAGGGTTTTAAAAATTTCTACATTAAATGCGTAACTACAATACATGTATTCCACCCCAAAAAACAAACAATTCCCCAAAAAAGCCAAAATTAAAAGCTTTAGTAAAAAAGTAAATTTCCCCCAAAAAATTTTAAATAAAAAAAAAAAAAAAAAAACAAACAAAAAAAAATCAAAGCTATGTTGCTATGTTTCCCCCCCCCCAAAAATTTCTCTTCTCGAATAAGGATTTTATGAAATTTAAAAAAATGAATTTATGTTGATGAAAAATGCCGTAAAAATAACCCAATGAAATTTTAAAAGAAAAGAAACCTTTTTGATAATGAAAAGAAAGATCTTAATTTTTGGTGGGTTTATGATGACTGGGGCCCTTTGGTTGTAAACTAATAATTTTAAAATTTATTGAAACTTGGGGTAATAATGATCGACTTACAATGAAATTTTAAACTTTTATGGTGAAACATGAAAGCCGGGGGGTGTTAAATTATAATTATAAAGATTTAAGGGGCCTTTATAATAAAAGAAAGAACTGAAAAATCTTTGAAAGGTGATCAAAAGAAAAGCCAAATTTAAAAGATATGGGTTGGGGGGAAATGAAAAAAAAGCACAAAAATTAAAATTACTTAAAAACCCGCCTGGGTTTATAAGAAAAAACATAAAAAAAAAGTCAAAAAAAATTAAATTTTCATGTTTATTTTTTTGGGGGAGCTTTAAAACGTTTAAAAATGGGTAAAAAAACAAAAGTTTTTCTTTTTTAAAATCCCCTTTTATGCACAAATTTATTGGCTCAGTAATTTTAATGGCCCCAAAAAAAGGGGGTTGTATTACAAAAATATCCTGCTCGATGAATATGGATTTAGCTCTGTTTTTGTAAATCATAAAAATATGAATTATAAGTTATCTGTCTTTTCATTTAAGAAAACTGTAACGGAACTATAAGTTTTTGTTTGTTTGTTTGTTTGGATTTTTACGGCACGTCAACACATAACTGGCCATATCGTGCCGAATGCTATAATAGGCTTAAAATATTATGTAAAACATTGTAAATGACAATAGAAATGAGCCAATTAGATCCTAGAATACAAGTTTATCTCTTTTAAATAATCAATTATGTTTTTGATGAATTGTATTAAAAAGTTCTTTGAGTGAATTTACAGAATAAAATCTATTACGGGCCTGTGAAAAATCATGACATTCAAGAAGAAAATGCTTGACAGTAAAATTTTCATTTACAACCTACACAGAAAGGGGCATTGTCATTTGTTAGGAGATAAAGTGGGTAACTTTAGTGTGTCCAATTCGGCAATCGAAGAAAGAACTGTTTGATCACGGCGGGCTTTGACAGAGATAGAGATGGTGACATATCAAGAGATGGGTTTATATCGTGAAGTTTATTAAAAACGGCATTGTCCCAATTTGCTTTCCATTCAGATGATACGAGTTTATTTATAGCCGGTCTAAAATCACAAGCAGGTAACAATAAGTCAGTTTTTTGAAAATTTAATGATTGTTTAGCTAAAGCATCTACTTTTTCATTTCCTCGTATACCTTACAGAAACATTTTGGTGATATTGAGAAAAAATAAAATATGGAAATCCTTGTACATGCATTTAAAACCTTTCTGATTCCTTAAATAGAATAAATTTGTTTAAATTACGTAAAAGTATAACGAGGTTGCGCGTGTCGTCGTATAATTTATTTATAGAACATTTGAGACATGGGCGAAATCGAAAACCGATAATGAAAGATTATGTTAATTCTGTAGTAATGACATTGAAGATGAATTTCATTTCATAATCACATGCAAAAAGTATTCCGACCTGAGAAACAAATTCATACCAAAATACTATGTTAAAAACCCGTCCATGTACATTGATTTATTGAGTTCAAAAAAGAAAAGTCTTGTTGAATTTGGGAATTTATTTATCTCACAAGTAGAAAAGGTGTCAAGGAATAAGGCTCTCCGAAGAGTGCTTTATACGCTGTAAGTAGGCAATTTGTGTCACAATTTAAAAAGTTGGATGATAAAACAAAACAAACAAAAATTCATTTTAAACATTATATGATTTCATTAAAGGCCCGTTGCGCCCCAGAATTGCTTTAATTTTTATTTGATAAAAGCTTTTTTTTGGATTCCCCGTTTAAAGTTTCCAAATTGTTCACTATCTAAACCATCTTTTGCCTATGTTGCATTAGGCAATAAGTATAGCTTCGTGTGGAAGTCAAAATACTACTTTGTTGACATTTTGCTACTTTTATGACAAATAATTTTGCATTCATCGCTACTTTTAACGTGTTAAGTATCTTTAATGCTTATAACCATAATCTAAATTTTAAACTGATGTTTGTCCTTTCCTAAACAAGTAAATAATTATAAATAATTCCAATCTGTGGCATAACATGCCTTTAAGTGTCAGCAATATATAACAGATAATTTTACAAATATAGTTATTTTTGTTTTAGTTTTGAAGTGTGGAAACATCATTAATTTAACAGAACAATCAACATGATACAGATAAAATAAATTAGACTTACGTGTTTTTTTCTCAGTTGCCTGATCCAACTTTTCCATTTGCTCTTTGATCTCATCTGTTACTGTCTTTAAGTCATCTAAACGGGAAGTGCTCTTCTCCACGTCTTTCTTAATATTTACCACAACTTCTGACACGTTTTTGATGCTTTCTAAAAAAACAAATCTAGAGCTATTACGAAAGGTGATTCATATCCCACCTTATATCAAATAAGGTAAGAATTTGGAATGCCAGCCTATATTTGTTACTTATTTTCAATTAGAGTCAAAATCACTGAAGTGATTGATTGATTGATTGATTAATTGATTGATTGATATCCCTAATATACCATCTTGTTACCGCAATGATAAGATGGTCAAATAAAGGATGCATTAAAATTGTTTAATTTCAAGGAAAAAGAAAACTGTTTCCAAATTACAATATTTTGTCCAATCAAACCATGAAGTTCTTTTGTTCTATTTAATTTAGAAGAAACCACAGCTTTTCCTTTTTATTAAGTGGGCTGTAGCCAAACTCAATCGGACTTTTATTTTATAATATTATGTAAACCAAAATTTGTTCCAATTTAATACTTAATATTAATCCGCTTTGAATTTACTCGTAAAGGAGTTATCTTCTAGAAACTGCATATTATGCAAAAATGAAATCGAAAAAGCGTAACAAATGATTGAAAAAGAGAATAATTTGAAGCTACATTCATAATTGGCATGTATTTTATGATGTTATGCCCTTGTACATTGTGTTAGTCAAACAAAATTTTTAACAAATCTATCATCTGGTTTTTTTTTATTTTTTGTAAATTGAACAGTGAGGGCAAACCCAATTAAAAGATAAAATGGCCCACCAAATTTTTTAAAAAAAATCCAAGGCTTCATTACAGATTTAAAACACATATAAACCATTTTGCAAGAAAAGAAGAAAAAAGGATTTCATAAGAAATGTAAAAAAAAGTAGGGGGCCTAATCCCCAAATTTAAAATTAAAACATTACTGAAAGGGATGTGATATTTTGTGAGGGAAAAATCATTAAACTATTGCCCTATTAAAGGTTATAAAAGGGGCCATATTTTTTGTGAAAAAATGGGGGTTAGAGCCTAAATTTTAAAGTTGATACATATTTTAATAGTTTTAATCGGGTCCCCTATGTTACAAAAATTATTTAACCATTTTTTTTAAAAGGGGAAATTACGACCGGAAACCATGTTTTTCATTAAATATAGGCTAAAAAAGTGACATAACTCTGTGAAATAAGTAGTATCTTGACCTGTATTTTATGATGTTACATTTGTGAATAAAAAATTATTAAATAATTTGCCTCGTTCAAGAGTTTTCATCTGGATATCATGAATTGGACTAACAGACGGACTGACGAATGGACGAACCGACAAACGAACTGGCTCACTTCTTTACACCCCACCCTAAACTTCGTTTGAGGAGGTATAAATATTTTAGTAAGAAAGAAAAAATCAAACTTAAGTAGATCTACATACATTAAATTCAAAATGTTCGCAATTTTTCGTTACATGAACAGAAGCATAAGCTGCGTGAAATCATCGCTAACCCTACAAATGTTAGGTGGCGCTTTAACTTGTCTTAATATATTATTAACATGCATTAAATAACATAAGCACACTTGTAAATCATTTTGCAATGATTCATGTATTAAAACCATGTGATTGAATAGTGTTTATTTTTAAAAGTATATACTTTTTCACCCTTTTTGTTTGTTAATTTTGTTCACATCGACCCTGTTAAGGTAATATGTAAACTTTCCAGCTTTACCTGTGGAAGAAGATCTCAAATCATTCGTCTGTCTTTCCAAATTTTTAGACAGGTCTGAAAGTCCATCCTCACACTTTTTGTTGATCTCATCTGTAACCACCTTTAAGTTATCTAAACCGGAAGTACTCTCCTCAAGGTCTTTAATGATGTTTCCTACAACTTCTGTCATATTTCTCATGCTCTCTGTAGCAATAAAAAGTGAAACTTAGATACTATGCAAGAATAAAAACAATGAAGATTTAAAAATATATTAGCTTTGATTGAATGAAAGTTAAGGAACGATTGTAACAAAGTTTTCGTTCTGAGATGTTGCTTTGACAATTTTTTTTTTTCATTCCGAAAATTGGCAAAGTTTGCCCTTATATATAGAAATGATTCCAAACTAATAAATATTGGGTCTTTTCATTTGAGTTAGCTTTTATTAGTCATTTTGTCAACTAAGGCCCAGTTTGCGCTGTTTGTCAGAGTAGAATATGTAAATTCTTATTTACTATACGAAGGGAATTTTTTGTCAAATAAATAGTTTTTATACATTTTGTAAATGATTATCGACGCATGAAATGTATAATATTAAATAATATTTTCAATACGTAATAATCTCAATAATTCAAATCAGTATAATAATTAAAACATACTATAAACTTATTCACGTATATGGCTGCATGTTATTTTTTTTCCATTAAACTGCACACGCGGTTTTACATTAACGGAGGAGAATGCAATCATTAAAAGATAAAATAACGAAACCACGCGCTGTTGCTGCACATTTTATATGTGTGAGTCAGGACACCATGTCATGAACCGCCTCCGTGATCGAGTGGTTATAGTCGATGACTTCTAATCCAGTTACATCTCTGGCGTGGGTTCGATCCCCGGGAGATGCTTCGGTAGTTTAGCGCGGAGGAAGGTAGTCTAGTACTGGTGTAACTCTCCAGGAACGATGGTTAGGAAACTACCCGCCTAAATGACTGAAATACTGTTGGGAAAAGGCGTAAAATGAAACAAACAAACAAAACCATGTCATGCACGTAAACAAACAGCTTCCTGCAATAACAGACCTGGACCCGTCCGTGTTCACAAAGTAAAAATCTAAATTTTTGCTAACCTATGACAAATAGAAGCGAATGCTGACATACAGAAGCGGTTGCTGACATACAGTAGCGAATGCTGACATACGGCAGCGGTTGTTGACTTACAGTAGTGAATGCTGATGTACAGAAGCGGATGCTGACATACAGTAGCAAGTGCTGACATACAGAAGTGGATGCTGACATACAGCAACAAGTGCTGAGATACAGTAACGAATGCTGACATACAGTAGCAAGTGCTGACATACAGAAGTGGATACTGACATACAGTAGCAAGTGCTTACATACAGTAGTGGATACTGACATACAGTAGCAAGTGCTGACATACAGTAGTGGATACTGACATACAGTAGCAAGTGCTGAGATACAGTAGTGGATACTGACATACAGTAGCAAGTGCTGACATACAGTAGTGGATGCTGACATACAGAAGCAAGTGCTGACATACAGAAGCGAATGCTGATATACAGTTGCAAAGTGCTGACATACAGTAGTGGATACTGACATACAGTAGCAAGTGCTGATATACAGTAGTGGATGCTGACATACAGTAGCAAGTGCTGGCAAACAGTAGTCGATACTGACATACAGCAGCAAGTGCTGATATACAGTAGTGGATACTGACATACAGTAGCAAATGCTGACATACAGAATCGGATGCCGACATACAGTATCGGATGCTGACATACAGAAGTGGATGCTGACATACAGAAGGAAGTGCTGACCCCATAAAACAGGAAAGGCGAATGCTTACTAACAAAAAGAAAAAAAAGGCAAGTGGAATGACATACAGAAAGCGAATGCTGACATACAGTAGCAAGTGCTGACATACAGTAGCGGATGCTGACATACGGTAGTTGGTGATGACATTAAGAAGCGGATGATGACATACTGAAGCGAATGCTGACATAGAGTAGTGGATGCTGACATACAGAAGCGAAGGCTAACATATAGTAGTGTGTGCTGCCATACATTAGCGGAAGCTGGCATACAGAAAAGAGTACTGACATACATAAGCGGATGCTAACATACAGAAGCGTTTGCTGACATACAGCAGCGAATGCTGACATACAGAAGAAAATACTGACACAGTAGCGGTTCCTGGCATACTGAAGCGGATGCTGGCATACAGATGCAGATGCTGACATACAGAAGTGGATGATGACAAACAGTATCGCGTGCTGACATACAAAAGCGAATGCTGACACACAGAAGCGAATGATGACATACAGTAGCGGATGCTGACATACAGAAGCAAATATTGACCTACAGAAGTTAATGCAAACATACAGAAGCAGATGGTGACCTTTGGAATTAAATGCCCACCTACAAAAGCAAATGCTGACATACAGAAGCAAATACCGACATGCAGAAACAAATGCTCACATACAGAATCAAATGCTGACACACAGAAGAGAATGCTGACATACAGAAGCGAATACTGACATACAGTAGTGGATGCTGGCATACAGAAGTGAATGCTGACATACAGAAGCGGATGCTGACATACAGTAACGGTTGCTGACATACAGTAGCGAATACTGACATACAGAAGCAAATACTGACATACAGAAGCGGATGCTGGCATACCGAAGCGAATGCTGGCATACAGAAGCGAACGCAGGCGTACAGAAGCGGATGCTGACATACAGTAGCAGATGTTGACAAACAGAAGCAAATGCTGACATACAGTAGCGGATGCTGGCATATAGAAGCGGATGCTGACATACAGTAGTGGATGTTGACATACAGAAGCAAATGCTGACATACAGTAGCGGATGCTGGCATATAGAAGCGGATGCTGACATACCGTAGCAGTTGCTGACATACAGTAGCGAATGCTGACATACAGAAATGAAATGAATGCTGACATACAGAAGCAAAAACTGACATACAGTAACGGTTGCTGGTATACAGAATCAGATGCTGACATACAGAAGCGGATGCTGGCATTCGGAAGCAGACGCTGGCATACAGAAGCGGATGCTGACATACAGTAGCGGTTGCTGGCAAAAAGTAGCGTTTGCTGACATACAAAAGCGGTTGCCGGCTTACAGAAGCGGATGCTGACATACAGAAGCGGATGCTTTCATACAGTTGCGAATGCTGACATACAGAAGCGAATGCTGACATACAGAAGCAAAAACTGACATACAGTAACTGTTGCTGTTATACAGAATCAGATGCTGACATACAGAAGCGGATGCTGGCATATAGAAGCGGATGCTAGCATACAGAAGCGGATGCTGAAAATATCCGGCGGAATTGTATGGATATGCAGACGATCATAAAGTGGCATTTAAAATTAGAGCTGGTGACCATCACAGCGAACAAATCGTTTGCCAAAAACTCACTGACTGTCTTAATGATATTGTGTCATGGATGACCAGATTTAAGTTAAAAATTACAATAGCAAACAGAAATTATCATTTATGTACAAGACATCAGCTGAAGAAATTGAAACATTTCCAGTGTCAATGTTTGGTGGGTCGAAGTCACTGTGTTGAAATGTGAGAGACTTGAGTACAGAAATGACAGCACTTTAAGTTTTGACATCCATATTCAAAAAAGTGTCAGATTGCACACATGCAGTTAAGAATTTGAAAGCAATCAGAAAACATCTCACTCAGAAATCTGCAGAAATCCTTGTTCACGGTTTGATTCATTCACATTTAGACTTTTGCAATGGACTCTATTCGCTGATATTTCAGCCTATCAACTTGATAAATTACAAACGTGTGCAGAATAATGCTGCTAGAATTGTCATGGAGCTGCTTACTATCAATCCAGTGCTGAAAAATTCTTAAATTCACTCCACTGGCTTCCAATTCGAGCAATAATCTTGTACAAATTATTGTGACTGTGTTTCGTGTTGCAAATGGCACCGCTCCATTGCATCTTCGTAAAATTGTTCACTAAATGCCAGAGTCAGTACAGAAAAGACTGAGATCCTCATCATCTAGCTCCACATTCAGTTTGATATACCATCAACAAATTCAAAACTTGCTGATAGATCCTTGGCTATTGTGGGACCTAAATGGTGGAATTCACTCATTGCCAGACTATCTGAAAGACATTACCAATGGAAAATCAGTTTAAGCCAAACTTAAAACATACTTGTTGGACTGTTTTTCAAAAACTAGAGTTGTAGATGGCTGTGCCATCGAGACTGGGTTTGGGAGTGCCTTGATTAAGCATATGTGTATATAGTCTTAATAATGTACAGCGCAATCGAATATTTAATACATGTTTGCGCTATATAAATGTCTTGTATTTGTATTTATTATTATCTGTCAGTTTGTAAGTTGAACAAATGTTAACATGTATATTTATGTATGTTTGTATTTATGTTTGTATTGCAAAACAGGCTGTATACATGAACCACTTGTGCAACATTTTGAACATTGTTAACGCAGTATTCAGGTCGCACAAGGAGTAAGCAGACTGGTTTCGGCAAGTGGGTCGCGCGCCAGTCTACTTTTCCACATAACGCAAACAAAAGGGTATATAAGCTGATTTTTTGTTGGGGTCCTTTAGGATGAGTTGTTGTAGTTTAAGTGTTTAATTTGCTTATAGACTTTTGCTAGTATATAAATTATTATGATGCATAATTTTCTTTTAATTGATTTGATTATCATGCTTTTACTTTGACTTAATCTATACAAGCATAGAGTTCTAAATGAAAGACATTTTTAGCGAAAACGTGTTAAAATAGATATCTGTTCAAACAATTGTTTGGGTAATTTTCATTGGAAAACCTCCCGTTACAAGTTCAAACTGCTATGAAACTATAAAAAGGGCTTCAATACTGATGATACTTGGCGCAATGCTTACAGGACCATAGTCTCTGTAACAGCATGCTCGATATTTTATTTCCTTTTACCATGGCAACGGGGGACGTCTCAAAATTGCCTAAAATCAGTATTTTGCATTGTTTCTTTTCCCATCTAAACTGATTTCAAAGTGCTGCAACTTCTCAATGGATTGAGGTAGAGTAATTTGCTCTATCTCTTGCTGCTTTGATGCCCTTTGATGCTTTGCATCAATGCTTTTCATGTTATATCATGAAACACCAATTGTCGCGAAACATGCAAA